GTCATCCATGTCAGGTTCTGGAGTGTCAAAGAAAGGGTGGGTACCCAACAGTTCAGGAACAAGTGGAAGCACAAGGGTAGGATGTCTGCCTCCCAGGAACTTTAAGCACCTGCAAGACATAGATTTAAAGTGTTCAGCATGTAAAACACTGCACAGTCTCTGTTTAATATGACCTCAATCACAAAAATGTCTGAAAACCCCAAAACTAAATGAGCTTCTTTCTGTGAGCTGCCCCACTCCTAAAGAAAGGGTACATATAAATGGAATAAACAAATTCAAATAAAGGAATTGTGAGTCACATATGATTTTAAGACATGCTTTTTTTGCTCCCAGAATTCATAATTCTTGATCATGAGTCTCTGAGATGTGAATTTGTAGTCTGTTTTTTTTTAAATAACTAAAGATAATCAGAGTTGTTTCTATTGTATTTAACTTTCACACTGTATACTAATGAGCCAATGTGGCATAGTGGTTTGAGCATTGGACTACAACTCTGGACACCAGGGTTTGAATCCCCACTCAGCCATGGAAACACACTGGGTGACCCTAGGCAAGTCACACTAACTCAGCTTCAGAAGAAGACAATGGCAAACTCCTTCTGAACAAATCATGCTCAGAAGACCCCATGATAGGTTTGCCTTAGGTCACAATAAATCAGAAATAACTTGAAGGCACACAACAACTATATACTAGTCTTTCCCACAACCTTTAGTTGTCAGGGTCTATAACTCCAACCACCCCCAGCCAAAATTGCCCATGGCTAATTCAGGCTAGGCCTCTTTTATTCTGAAAACTGGCTTAAAATCTTTCATTCCAAATTAATTAATTAATTAATTAACTAATTAATAAGTATTTATACGCAGCTCTTCAGCCAAAAGGCTATCAAATATTAACCATGTGCATCAAGCAAACGAATGCATCATAAAGAGTGCTTCATAAAGAGATTATTCAGCAAGTTGCAACCCTTCAAGCCATTATTATATCTACTTCAAGAAGAGAGACAACAACACTTACTTCCAGATGGAATCCCTGTCTGTAGGATACTTTGTCAGATTCTTCAGGAGCTCAACCAAAGCAAGATGGATGCCTTCTTTTGTCGAGACATTGGTGCAACACAGCAGCTCGTGGAGAGCTTCCCGTATATCTCGGGAAGAATCCTGAACCAATACTTAAAAAGCTTAGAATAATGACAAATAATGAAGATTACTTTTTCTACAGACAAAAACCTATTTGGATATTCCACCATGGTTCAGAGGAATACAAGGAATCTACAAGACCATGACTGAGATTTTACATCATGTTTGCATCCTGTAAATATGCAATCATGTAATTATATGATGGTTACTTTACACCACTTTCCTTCTGAATATCAACTTTGTCCAACTGATTATGTATCTGCCAATTTGCCTGTTTCTTGTGCAACTGTGCAATGAGGAATGCACAGTGGTTGCTTCTGCAATCCCAGTGAATCAAGTGGTTCACTGAAAGGACTGACAGATAGTTACAGATTACCCAAGCCTGTGTAGCTGGAATCCTATTGCTTAGTCCCAATTAGAGTAGATCCATTCAGTCAATTGTTGAAGAGTGAACGAAGTCATACTCTACTTGAAAAAAACAAAGGGATGTGGGCCCATGTGAAAGGGTTACATTTGAGGAATTCTTCTTATGCATCCTTGAACTGAATATACCTGTTGCAGAGCAAGCATGTAGAGTTGTATATGTAAGGGAATTTACACAGGGCTATGACATCAACAGCATTCCAGCCTAAGTATTTACTCCGCATTGATCTCAATCCATGGCAACCTTATGGATGAGACATCTTTAGGCCCCCCTGTCCTCTACTGCTCTGCCCAGCTCCCGCAAACTCATATTCGTGGTCTCTTTAATAAAGTCCATCCATCTAGCATGTGGCCTTTCTCTCTTTCTACTTCCCTCCACCTTTCCTAACATTATTGTCTTTACCAACGATTCATGCCTTCTCACAATATGTCCAAAGAATGACAGTCTAAGGGCCTTTGCAGACTGCCAGAAATAGTGCACTTTAAATTGAGGTACTGCCCTGGCTCAGTGCTAGGGAATCATGGGAACTGTAATTTATTGTGGCAGCAGAGCTCTCTGACAGAGAAGGCTCAATGTCTCAGAAAAACTACAGTTCCCATTATTCCCTAGCACTGAGCCAGGGCAGTGCCTCAATTTAAAGTGCACTATTTCTGGCAGTCTGCAAAGGCCCTAAGTCTTGTCATCTTGGCTTCTAGGGGTATTTCTGGCTTGATCTCCTCTAGGACCCATTTATTTGTCCTTTTGTCTGTCCACAGAATCCTCAGCACTCTTCTCCAGCACCACATCTCAAATGAGTTTCCTCCTATCTTCTTTCTTGACTGTCCAGGGAACAGGGAATACAATGGCTTGTATGATTCTGACTTTTGTGCTGAGTTGTATGTCTTTGAATTTTAGGAGCTTTTCTAGTTCTTTCATAGCCACCCTCCCCATTCTTAATCTTATGATTTCCTGGCTGCAGTCCCTGTTCCAACCAATGTTTGATCCCAGAAATGAGAACTCTTTTACTATTTCTATTTCTTCATTGTCTAGTTTGAATGTATGTAAGTTCTCTGTGGTCATTACAGTTGCCCCTCCCAATTCATAGGGGATCCATTCCAGACCCACCCACCCCCATGAAATGGCAGCTTGCAAATATTCGAGCCCCACTGAAAATAATGGTGCACGCAGGCAGGCACCGCCATTTTATCTATAGCCACTTGTCCCTCCCGCAAAGAGCGAGACCGTGGACTCAAAGTCTATGAATGGGGAGGGACAACTGTATTTTTGTTTTCTTTATGTTCAACAGTAAGCCTGCCTTTTCACTAGTTCTTCCAGGTCTGTGAGGTTTTCTGCTAGTGCAATGGTATCGTCAGCGTATCTCAGATTGTTGATATTTCTTCCCCCTATTTCCATTCCTCCTTCTAATGTGTCCGAGCCTGCTTTTCTTATAATATGTTCTGCGTACAAGTTGAACTGATAGGGTGAAAGGATGCAGCGTTGTCTGACTCCTTTGCCAACTGGGAACCATTCTGTTTTTCTGTGTTCTGTCCTGACAGTAGCCTCTTGTTCTGAGTACAGATTCCTCATCAGAACTATCAGTACACTAAGTACATTGGGATGACATGAAACACTAATACAGGTTGAGTCTTCCTTATCAAAAATGCTTGGGACCAGAAAGAAGCATTTTGGATTTTGGAGTTTTTCAGATGTTGGAATATTTACATAAACATAATGAGATATCTTAGAGCCAAGTCAAAGCATGATTTTTTTACGTTTCGTATACACCTTATACACATAGCCTGAAAGTAACTTTATACACAATATTTTAATAATTTAAAAAAAAAATGGTGTACAAGTTTGTCACTATCAGAATGCAAAGATGTCTCTATCACAGCCACCCATGTGGATGATTTTGGAAAATTTTGGATTTCAGAATTTGAAATAAAGGAGACTCAACCGGTAAAAGGAAGTTCTTCCAAAGGGGTTGGACTTGCCTCCAAAACACCTAGCACAGTGTCCAGTTGGTCTTCTCGCAGGGTGATATTATTGGAAATCTTTCTCATGGTGTGAATTGACTGCAGCCTCACTTCTTCAATCTCATCATTGAACATGTCAACCAGAAAATCAAGGCATTTCTCTGCAAAGGAGGGTGAGGATTGGGCCAGCATGCAGAGGGCCTCGACTGCAGCAATCCGAACCTCTGAAAAATGGAAAGAGGGCAAGAGAGAGGAATGTAATAGAACATTTCTACCGGAATAGTAGAAATGTCAACCCTAGTTTCTTAATTCTGGACAGATGTATCTATTTTTGCAGACATACATTCTAAACAGCTGATCTAGTTGGAACAGACTTCTTATGTCTTCATATGAAGACACACCAGAAAAAAAAGTTATTAAGTAATGACAAATCCTCAAAAGGACACTGAGAACCTGGGCAATAGGCCCTCCACTCACCATACATTTCATCTTCCAGGCCATGAACGAAGGCCCCACAGGCACCGGATTCAATTAAGTTCACAGCTCCAGTGTCTACTTCTTCTTTGGGAGCATCATCTCCCCACTTTCTGCCACTTGAGAACTCCCCAGAGCTGTAGAGCTCTTTTGCCCGTTCGTGGGCTGTTCGTTTTCGCTGTAGATGCAACAAACGTGAAAGTTACATGCCAGATATATTATAAGAAAGCAATAGAGGTTTGAGCGCTGGTCTATGATTCTGGAAACTAGGGTTTTAACCACTGCTCAGCTATGGAAATCCATTGGGTGATGTTAGACAAGTCACACACTCTCAGCCTCAGATGGTGGCAAAGGCAAGCCTCCTCTAAACAAATCTTACCTAGAAAACCCTGTGGTAGGATCACCTTAAGGGCATCATAAATTGCAAACAGCTTGAAGGCCACAAAACAACAACAACAAAGTCCAACACATTTACTCCTCTTTATGTAACATCAAGTTTCATAACTTATTAACAGCCACAGGCTAGATTGCCTAGGCTGAGCAAGGATCTTCTCCAGACAACCAAACAGATTAACATAACAAAAGGTAGGACCTCCATTACAAAGATTTCTTACATAGGTACACTGTGAGTGACAGATTTGTGTGAGCAAGCCATTTTTGTAGCTCTATTTGAAAACCTAGAACAAATTATGTGAAGTTCACTGTACATGTCTTTAGCTTTATGTGAAGCTTTAATTATCTTGTTCTCCAGAACTTGGATTTATTCATTTATTGTTCAGTTCTAGAGGTAGTAGGTAAGGAGAAACATGATGCAAGGAACTTCCAATAGGGAGCTGCTCAGAGCCAGTGGCCTGATGATCATTTTTAGTTTTTTATTCACATTTCTAACTGACTTCTGTTGTTGCTGCATGCCTTCATTTCCAACTTATGGACACCCCAAAGCAAACCTATCATAGGGGTTTCTGGGAGTGAGAATGTTTGACTCACCAAAGGCCACTCAGTGAGTTTCCATGGCTGAGCAGGGATTCAAACCCTAGTCTCTGGAGTCATAGTCCAACATTCAAACCACTAAACTACACTGGCTCAACTGACCTCCATAGCTAAACAAAAAATACACACAGAGAGACAACACAAGGTGGTTGACTTTCATGTCAGTAGGGCAGTGCATTTGTTAGGGGTTTTAGTTCAGACTTTAAGAGCAATCCAAGATACTGCACCCTATGTCCCAAAAAGGATCAACACCCAAGTATGCACTAGATTCCAGAGGGGATTGACCATCCTGCTGACATGGAAGTCACCAGGGACTGTTGACAGATGGAATATTTTGCCTGGAAAAGCCCAACTAAGTTAAATTTTATTTTTGTATTTATTTAATTCCACCTTTCTCCCATTAATTAATGAAAATGCATTATAATTAATTAAAATTAACTAATGAGACTTTTTAACCAGTTAAATCAGTACTACTCTAAGCAGGAAGGGTGAAACTTTTTACTACCAAAGGCCACATCCCTTCAAGAACAATCTGTTGAGGGCTGCATGGCAGTAGTAAGTTGGTGGGTTTCTTTCTTTCTTTCTTTCTTTCTTTCTTTCTTTCTTTCTTTCTTTCTTTTCTTTCCCTCTTATTGCTCTTCTGCCTTCCCAGGAGACTACTGGGGAAAGCCAGATGCCCTTTCCAAAGATATAAACTGATTGCTTACAGAGGGCTTTTGAAATGAGACCAAGGGTTACAGCTGCCTATTCCTGCTGGACAGTATCGATGTGATCTTTTGTAATTCCTGTTCAGAGCTTGGAAAGTTATTTTCAGACTACAACTCTTAAAATTCCCCTGCCAGTGTGAGGAGAGTATTGTTAAAGTGGCTGAAATACTTTAAAAAAACCAATAACACCATACAGCACAATCTTAAACACAGAATATATTCACTAGCAAATATTATTATGGTTGCTACCATAGAGTTTAAGGGAATATTTAATTTGACAACAGACCTGGTTGAATTGATAACTGAATAGCTGACACCAGATTTTTTTCAGAGCTTGAAAAAGTTTTTTTGTTGTTAACTGCCCTCGAGTTGATCTCAACTTAAGGCAACCCTATGGATGAGACATCTCCAAGACCCTCTTGTCCTCCACTGCTCTGCTTAATTCTTGCAGAGGAATTCCCTTAATAACCATGACTTCCTTAATAGAGTCCATCCATCTGGCATGTGACCTTCCTCTCTTCCTATTTCCTTCACCTTCCCCAGCATTATTTTTTTTTCCAAAGAGTCCTCTCTTCTCATGATGTGTCCGAAGTATGACTCAGTTTGGTCATGTTGGCTTCCAGGGAAGTTTGCGGCTTGATCTGCTCTAAGACCCCTTTGTTTGTCCTTTGGGCTGTCCATGGGATCCTCAGCACTCTTCTCCAGAACCACATTATCTCAAATGAATTGATTTTCTTCCTATCATCTTTCTTAAACTGTACAGCTCTCAAATCCATACATGGTAATAGGGAATTCAATAGCTTGTATGATTCTAACTTTTGTACTGAGTTGTATAGCTTTGCATTTTAGAATCTTTTCTAATTCTTTCATAGCCACCCTCCCCAGTCTTAATCTTCTTATTTCCTGATTGCAGTCCCCATTTCTATCAATGTTTGATCCCAGGTATGGGAATTTCTTTTTTTTTTTCTTTTTCTATTTCTATATCTTCATTGTCTAGGTTGAACTTGTGAAGGTCCTCACTGGTCATTATTTTTGTTTTCTATATGTTCAGCATTAGGCCTGCCTTTGCAATTTCTTTTTTGATCTTCCTTAGTCGATTTTCCTGGTCTGTGAGGTTTTCTGCTAGTACTATGGTGTCATCTGCATATCTTAGATTGTTGATATTCCTTCCTCCTATTTTCACTCCTCCTTCTTCTGTGTCCAAGCTTGTATGATTCTAACTTTTGTACTGAGTTGTATAGCTTTGCATTTTAGAATCTTTTCTAGTTCTTTCATAGCCACCCTCCCGTCTTAATCTTCTTATTTCCTAACTGCAGTCCCCATTTCTATCAATGTTTGATCCCAGGTATGGGAATTTCTTTACTATTTCTATTTCTTCATTGTCTAGGTTGAACTTGTGAAGATTCTCACTGGTTATTATTTTTGCTTTCTTTATGTTCAGCATTAAACTAGCCTCTTCCTTTCCTGAACCCTGCTTGGACCTCTGGAATTTCTCTCTCCATGTATGGTTGGAGTCTATGTTGCAGAATTTTGAGCATGATTTTGCTTGCGTGGGAAATCAGTGCTATGGTCCTATAGTTGCTACAGTCTCTTGTGTCTCCCTTTTTGTGGATGGGGATGTATATTGATCACTTCCAATCTGTTGGTCATCTTTTTGTTTTCCATATCTGTTGACATATGTTGGTTAGCACTAGAATTGACTTTGTCAATGTAGACTGAAGCAGTTCAATTGGAATATCAACAGTTCCTGGCGATTTGTTTTTCGCTGTTTCTCTTATTGCAGTTTCCACCTCACTTTTTAGGATTTGGGGGTTCATCTTCATATGGCTCTTCATTCCATGTGTCCTTCATTTTGTCATCTCTTTTGTATAATTTTTCTGTGTATTGCATCTAATGTCTTTTTATTCCTTCCTGGTCTTGAATTATGTTATTTTTATTGTCACAGAGCATCCCAGTCCTTAGTTTGAATTTTCCTTTGATTTCTTGAATCTTGTGAAATAGATCTCTTGTTCTTCCCTTCTGGTTGTTTTCTATTTCTCTGCATTGGTCATTGTAGTAATTTTATCTTTCTGCACAAGCCGTTGTACTGTTGCATTCATAATTCTTAGTTTCTTCCTATTTCCCTTTTGTTTTTCTTCTCTTCTTTTCTTTATTGCTTGTAGTGCTTTTTCTGTCATCCATCGTTTTTTCTTTCTTTTTTATTGAAAGTGTCTGTCTGCATTCTTCTTTTATTATGTCCCTGGCCTCAGACCTTAGTTCCTCTGGTTCTCGGTCTATTATGCTTAGTAGTGCAAATCTGTTATGTTATCAGTAATTACTTGCCAGGATTACAATTCCCAGAATCTCCTGGCTGTGAGATCCTGGGAGCTTTGTTATTGTGTGCCTCTAAGGCAACTCTAGCATAGCATTTTCTTGGCAAGTTTCTTAGAGGGGGTTTGCCATTGCCGTCCTCTGAGGCTGAGAGAATATAATTTGTGCGAGGTCACTGAGCAGGTTTTTATGCTCAAGCAGGGAATCAAACCCTGATTTTTAAAATCGCAGTTCAACACTCATACCATTACACCACAGGAGCTGCAGATTCACAAAATAACTCCTCTAAGTTCTGCTCCTATTACTTTCCTAGTACAGGAACAATGACTGGTGTTTGGTGATCACAGTCTCTGCAGTTGTGTTTTTAAATAATGGAACCATGCCTGACATAATCCGTGCAGTCCATAGCAGAAGCCAGGGCCACAGAGGCATGCAAAAGTCTCTCTTCATCTACCACTTAATTGAAACAGATGCCAAGAAGATACACATATTCTTGAAAACGTTTATGAACTGCAGTAAATAGAGGAGAAATCTTTTGAGTCTAAATTTTGAGCCTAAGTTGCATCATCTCCAATCAAACTGGAACAACCAGGTGTGAGTGTATGTGTGATTTTTTTTAAATTATATATTTTTTGTGAAGAACACAAAGGCTGAACCAAAGGATTTGTGGTTCAAATTTATCTGGCATTACACTACCAGAAAGCCTGGGGGGGGGGGGGACTACACAACAGAGAAAGTCCACAAGAAAACAAAACAAAAAAAAAAAACCTGTTGTGCAACTTCAGACATGCCAGATGCAAGATAATTATCTGTTAAGCCACAGGACTTTTCCTTTCTGTTAAGCAAGAGGACAAATTGAAAACAGAAAAAGCCAAATTTCTGTACCCTCAGGTCCGACATCAGCTTCTTGTCCAGGGTCTGTTCTAAAAAATGAGAACTAACTTGCAGCATAGATCCCTGCAAGAAAGGAGGAAAAGGAAGAAGTTAGTAGTAGCAAGGAATTTTTGGACACAATACAGGTAAGGTTAACTGCAGCCCTGCCTGACATGGAGACAGATAATACTTTGTCTAGACAGGCTGAGAAATAGTGCTGGTGAAGAGTCAGTAAGCAGTGCATGTCAGCACCAGTGATGTGAAAGAACACCCTCCTGTATATTTTCATTTTTTAAAATATACTAAAGGATAATGGTAAAGTTTAGGGACCAGAGAACTGTCAAAAAGTGGAAACCATTGTAATGAGGAACCCATACGACTGTATACTATGTTGTTGTTGTTGTTGTTGTTGTTATTTCTTACAGCCTCAAGCCTTAAAACATAGATTAAAACATAGATTAAAAACACATAAAATCATTTTAATGCACTATAAACATACAACACATTAAAATCATCCAGCATAACAATTTAAAAGCTACCAATTTAAAATTCATAGTTTATAATCGACTTTTAAATTCAGATAGCATGTTAGCTGTTGAATTTCTCCCAGCAGGTCATTCCACAGTCTAGCGGCAGCTGATGAAAGTGTCCTCTGAGTGACAGTTGCCAGCTGACTTTTGGCCAGTAAGCACAAATATAAGTATAGATACCTGTACAGTGCTGTATTATAAGCATGCGACACCACAAATGACTTCTACAGTGTTGCAGAAGTTTTGAACTTCAGCTTCCAGAATTCCTGACTGTTGGCCATACTGGCTAGGGCTTCTGAGAGATGAAGTCCAAAACACCCAGAGGACCAAAGTTTGGGAATCTCTGATTCTAGTCTAACCCTTTGTCAGTGCAGACATCCTCAGCCAAACTACTCTTAACCATCCAACCACCATTTAAATACCTCAAACAGCTTCCAACCTAATCCATTTCACTACTGAAGATATTTCACCATCAAGAAATTATTTCTAATGCTTAGCTGGACTCTCTTTTCTTGTAATTTGAATCAAGTCATTTGGATCCTACCCTTTGGAACAGTAGAAAACAAACTCGCTCCCATTTCCATGGGACAACCCTTCAAAGATTTGAAGATGTCTATCATACCAGCTCTCGGGTTTTCTATTCTCTAGGCTAAACATACTCAGTTCCATACACAGTTTCTCACAGGGCTTGGTTTCCAGACCCTCCAATTTTTTGGTCACCTCCCTGTGGACAGGCTGCAACTGCCTGATATCCTTCTTAAACCCAGAACAGGATATAATACTCCAAGTAAAGTTAGACCAGAGGAGAATATATGAGAATCTTATGAGAATCTTTGAACAGGTCATTAAACATTTATTGATGCAATCCAGAATTACATCAGGCTTTTTTTCATTTCATCAGATCATTGACAATATATGAAAGGGATGGGTACCACTTGGCTGGACACAGTAGTAAAGTAGGTACAGGCCAAAAACTGCCTTTGGTGTGATCTAGCAGGGATCCTTCTGTATTCTTATATATAGGCCAAATGTCTATCTGACCCCAGAAACTACTTACTACACATTCTGGCCAGATCCTTCCAGGAATTGCAGAAACAACAATATTGGCAACACCCCCAATATCAGGCATTTTGAAATATATACTGCCCTCTTTTCATGGAAGTTTTATTTAGCCAACATGCTACTCTTCTTCATGAAAATCCTTAGTCCCATTTTAAAGTATTTGAGTAGTGGCTCTGTCATAGTGTGTGACAGTGACTTCCTTAAGTTAATCGTGCCTCTTGTTTGCTGCTAGTCAGTACATTGCCAAAATACACAAACAAGGTTTTTAGCCCTGACATTGAGAAAAAAAATCAAGCAATACATGGCCCTCACGTCTTATTCTGAACTGAAAGGCCAAGAAGTATTTGGTATTCCAGAGGTTTTGGACTTCAGCTCCCAGAATTCCTGATCACTGGACATGCTGGCTGAGGTTTCTGGGAGTTGAGGTCCACTCTTGGTGCTGTTGTGTGCCATTTATTAACTTTTGAACAGCCGGTGTGGTATAGTGGTTTAAGTGTTGGACTACAACTCTGGAGACCAGGATTCGATTCCCCACTTGAGTATAAAAACCCACTGGCTGTCCTTGGGCAAGTCACACTCTCTCAGCCTTGGGGGATGGCAATGGCAAACCTCCTCTGAAGAAACTTGCCAAGAAAACCTATGATAGGGTCGCCATAAGTAAAAACTGACTTGGAGGCACACCGCAACAACAAACCTATCATGGGGGTTTCTTGCCAAGTCTCTTCAGAAGACCAAAAATTGAGACCACTGATCTAGTCAGAAAACAGTAATCCCACTATTTTTCTCATGGGCTCACGATGGCAAACATTTTAAAATTCAGGCAAAGTAGAGGCTTTGCAAAGTACAACCAGAATGAGTGACAAGGTAACTGTACATGCAACTAAAAGAGCTAGAAACACCAATTATTAGGACTCTATTGGGTTTCCTGACTCTGCAACTTGTGGTGGGATCACCATGATACAGCACACAAGGACACAAGTTCCATATAAATTACACAAGCTTAGCAGCTTTTCTACTTGTCCCACCTACTCCCCTCCAACTTTCAGAGAGATGCTCAATCAAGCCATATGCTTCCACCTGGTAGACTTATTATACCCTGCTTTCTAACCACTTAAAAATAAAGAGAAGGCCACTTACCAGCAATTTAGCAGCTTGGACTCTCACCACCCATGAGCCATCACTAACCATGTGACAAATTTTTCCAAATGCATCATCAACTAGGCGGATTTCTTCATTGGAGGAAGGGATTGGGACAATGCTAGGAAAGAGAGCAACAAAGTATTACATATATGCTACGTGTATGATGTATTATATTAAGATTTTGTCTTATCTGCCATTAATAACTTGCTGGGAGCTTTAAAATTACAGAAAAATTAATTATCTGAGATAAATCACACAATAGCTTCCGTAAAGTGTGCCCCAGATTTTGTATGAATTATTGATTCCAAATAGGTAGAATTCAAAGATACTGTCATATTAGTCTGTAAAATCAGTATGTAAAGAGATCTTGTAGCAACTTTGAGACTAAGGGCCTCGGCAGACGGCTTAATTGAGCCGTCTCCGAGGCC